GTTGTAGTACAGATTTGTTTCTTAAGGCTGCGACTGTGATTTGTGGAATATGCTTTTTAATAAGATTGATTTTCAGGAGTATGGAGAGGGTTCCGAATACGGAAAGGCATTAAGAGAGGAAGCGCGTCGAAAGAAATATGGCCGGCAATTGCAGGTTTATCAGCATGACAATCAGCCATGGCTGCTAAGTGTCACAGATTCAAGTAAATTACTGAATAACTCTACTGTTAAGACCAAGTTATTTTCTATTGAACAGCTTGTTTCTATGAAATCCCGAAAGAGAGGGACTATCGAGAACCTTGCCAGCGAGCGATTGTTGCTGGCTGTTGCTACTGCTAGGGCTGCTTCTGAGGACAGTCACTTCTCACTGAAAATGAATGCGAAGACGATTTTTAAATTCTGACGTGTGCCTATACATAGTGCATGGGCATGTAAGGTTTTGATAGAAACTGGTACTAAATAATGAGAAGTGGTACCACGGTATGTCAAAATTTTGTGAATTTTGCCTAACAATTTTATGTGAATTGTCGTATGAACGAGCACTTTTAGGTGGTAAGGAACGAAAATTTCGCAGCATTCGAGAAGGTGGTGCAGGTGAGCATGCTGATTATTGGGTGTTCTCAAAAGCGGGTGAAGAATTTCACGCATACAAGGTGGATGAATGGTACCAATTCTTGCCATTCCTAAGGCATCGAACTCTGGATATTGATCAGGCTGAGGAACGATTTCGCGAGTAAGGTTTTCTACACATTATTCTCTTCTAACAACTGCTTTTTCACTATTTTGGGCAATTACTATAGCTCGGCTCGGCTCCGCTAGCCTCGGCTCCACCTCGGCCAGCTTTGGCAGCTGCACGGTTTACATGAATTCATCCCCAGACGGTATAGTAGGGAGCAATGAGAGAAACGGGGGGAGGGGGACAGAGAGGTAAGGAGGGGAAGGCACAGAAAGGTGGGGGGCTAAAGGGGGCTAGGCGAGAGAGGTGGGGGGCAGGAAAGAGTTGGAGAGGCTATTGTGCGAGGAGTTGGAGAGGCTATTGTGGGCTCAGCGGCATAGGAGAGGGTGGGGACGTCGAGTGGCCACATAGGGGAGAGGGCGTAATGGGCGGGAGGAAGCAGGACATGTGCTGCTGATTTTGTCGCGGTTGCGCGGGGTAGGGAAGTGCTTCAGAGGGATGCACACTGTAGAGGGCATAGAAGGAAAGGGCGGACGGGAGAGGGGGGGTGGGGTTGGGTGTTGGATTCAATACGCGGGGAGGGGGTTGTGGTGGAGTGGCGAGGGGGGGGGGGGGGGGGGGGGGGGGGGG